TTCTTAAAATAAAAAAAGGGCTGGGATGTAACCCAATGATAAAGTGCCCCTGGATTCAAGCCTTAGTACCAAGAACAAAAACAACAAAAAGCTAGAAACCAAGTTTTGTTTTATTGGTACCAGGGATTGAACCCAGGGGTGCTTTGCCACTAAGCCACATCCCCAGCCTTTTATTTATATATATTTTTTTTAATTTTGAGACAGCATCTCACTGAATTACTTAGGGCCTTGCTAAGTTGCTGAGGCTGCTTTGAACTTGTGATCCTCCTGCCTCAGCCTCCCAAGTCACTGGGATTAATAGGCTTGCGCTGCCATGCCCAGCTGAAACCAAGTTTTGTTTTTTTTTTTGGGTACCAAGATTTTTTTGTTTTTTTTTTTTAACCCAGGTGTGCTTAACCATGGAGCCACACACCAAGCCCTTTATATTTTTTATTTTGAGACTAGGTCTCACTGATTAGCTGGGATTATAGGCCTGTGCACCACACTTGGCTGAAACCAAGGGKTTTTTTTGTTGTTGTTGTTCATTTGTTTGTTTGTTTTTTAGTTGCTTATGGACCTTTATTTTATTCATTTATTTCTATGCAGTGCTTCACACATGCTAAGCAAGCGCTCTACCACTGACCCACAACTCCAGCCCTGAAACCAAGTTTTAATGAAAGCTTTTCTGATTTTTGTAGTATTTGCAAATAATTTAAAGATTTTTTAAAAATTATGGGAACCAATGACAATATGTCTGGGCCACCATTTTCAACTCTGCTCTACATACATACTTACAGCCACTTGCTGGCTCAGTTGATGCTGTGAGTTGAGGGGACTTTCAAAGTCAGCTACCCAGTGTCCTCAGGATCCTCTTTTTCCTGGAATGCTGAGCTACCCTTACCTAGCTTAAGAAATGGGTATAAATTCCATATGCAACATCTGTAGGGAGATCTCAAATAGGCCAGAAATCAGTCCAAGCCCCAAAGAGGGTCATGGTGTCCCCTCACACACGGCTCTAACCTCTGTCCCTACTGGTGAAAATTCTTACTGGGAAATGCCAGAAGGCTGCCATTTTGATCTAGTCAAGCAGGCTGAAAGGCCTCAGTGATGTTTGAGCATTGGCACCCTCCTGGCCCCAAAAAGTAGTCTCTGACTTTATACCGAGGTTAAAGTTCCCCTCGTACTTTTCTCTCACTGGGCATCTCCCCTTCTTCCTCCAAAGGAACCTGGGGTTCTCCCCCACTAYTTCCAGAGACATCTTTCCTCTGAGGCATTTCCTTCCAACTAAGATCAGCCCAGGCCATGGATTAACTCAGTATTTACTCATGTATCATAGGGACAGGGCTTGGCTGCCTGCCCCCAGAATGTCCTGAACCCCTCCAGTGGGTAATAACACCTTGCCTGACTCAGTCTGATGTGAATCTTACCCTGACCCACTCCCATCCCCACCACTYCCCCCTTGTGAAGTTTCAGTTTGATTTTTATACTTAACATAGCTCTTTATTCTTATCAAAGGGATTTTCTAACCATTCTCATTTGGATACTACAGATTTTTATTTTAAGAGTCACACAAATTTTTAATCTTTGTTCCCAAAAGAACTTAATAAGCAATTAATCTGGAGCTGGTTGACCTTGGGAGGGAGATTCRGTAGTTCTGGTCCCATCACCCAGTGAGCTCATTTTCATTCTCTCCCTCCGCCTGTCTCTTTCCTCCTTTCCATACTGTACCTTCACTTGGTACCAGATCTTCTCTCCTGAAAACCTACATGTGTCAGCATTTCTGTATTGTCAGAGCTGGGTGCTAGTTAATTCTGGCTGACATCTAAAAGCAGTGGGATTTTTTCCTGTGTAAATCCAAATTTCCCAGGGCTCCATGAAGGGCAATTACATGAATAAAGCACCCCCAGGTCCCTGTAGCTCCTTGGATTTTGACCCAAAACACAAACTTTGGGGGTCTTCTCCACCCCACTATAGAAAAGAAACTATCTCTGTCCCCAATTTACGGAAGAAACACATCTGAAAAGGGAGATAACTGGCCCAAATGGTAACATTGCCTCATCAATATGAGCATTATTGGAATGTAGCCTTGTCCTGTTCTCTAATCAGTTTCTGACCCCCTTTTTTTTCCCTCCTTCGGTGCTGGGGGTATAAGCCAAGSMCTCATGCATGCAAGGCAAGTGCTCCACCACTGAGCTGTATACCAGCCCTCAGCTTCTGGGTCTTAATGTTCCTTTCAGGATCTGTCTCATGCTGGTAGGGATTCTACCTTCTCCCATTACCCCTGAAGCCCCAGCACACTGCTGGGCATCTAGTCAGCCCTCTTGGTGGGTACCTTGGGAAGTTGGGGAAGASTTTTTTGGGGGGAGGGTACTAGGGATAGGACCCCTACTAAGCGGCTTCTCTAATCCTTAGTGAGTCAGTTGGATGGAAATGGCTGATCAAGATGAGATTTCTAAGTCCTAGCCCCCCAGAGGATGTCCTGTTCATTCATTTCATAAATATACTTWGTATGTACCCACTACATGCTGTTAACTATTGTGAGCCTTAAGGATAAAGCAGTGAATAACATAAAAATCGCTGTCCTTGTGGACCTTATACACTAGAGAGAGAGAGAGAGAAAGAATGAAATTTRTGGTGTGATAGATGCTTAAGGAAGAAAATGCAGCAGGAAAGGGGGATAGGTAGTATTAGGAATGATTGTAATTTTTAGTCTTAGGAGGGTCTCACCAAGGAGGTGACATCTGTAAATATCTGCAGGAATGAGGACAGGAGTCATTCATCCTCCTGCCTTTAGGATCATTTCTCCCAAGGGCCTTCATCTGCCTCAGCCGGGTGAGGTCCAGAATAGAGTTGTAAAGACACTGACACACTCATCAGACATTGTCCCTCTTCCCAAAACTCCATAATAAACTCATTCCTACTAAGGTATTAGCAGTTGTTCCCAGAGAGGCCCTGGGTGGGGGGAACCAAGTTCTAAAAGTCCCATGAGAGACTTAGCTCATGAAGGGGCTCTTGGGATGGGAACCACTCCTCCTCCCTGCCTCTCTCCCCCACAGAAATTGAGTCTCACATTATAAAGCAAGAAGATATACTTAATGGCAAAGAAAATGAGATTAAGGAGTTGCAGCAAGTTATCTGCCAGCAGAAACAGATATTCAGGTGAGGGCCCTGGGCCAGGCTGGGGGTTGTTGATGGAAGTGGGGAGCCTGACCTCTGGCCCCTACCCTGGGCTGTCTGCAGCCCACGACCAGCCAGCTGGCTCCGTTGCAGGAATCACATGTCTGACTTCCGGATCCAGAAGCAGCAGGAGAACTACATGGCCCAGGTGCTGGACCAGAAGCATAAGAAAACTTCAGGAATGCGTCAGGCCCGAAGGCACCAACGTCTCAGGGAAAAATAAAATGGTGGTCACCTACCTGTTCTTTGCCCAACCTATGCCTTCTCTGCTCTGGGGGATCCTCAACCCTTCCTTTCCCATTCTGGTGGGTCCAGTCACCCCAGGTCTGACCTCCAAGAAAGGGGCAAGAGAAGAGGCAACAGTCACTTCTATCGTCCGCCTCCTGGTCCTTGATGACCTGTAGTCAACAGGAATTGCTTGGGGTACATGCATTGAACCACTGCCTTCCAGGCTACTTCTGGGCTCCTGAGGGGATGCTCCTCAATCCTCCAACTCCTGAAAGCAGGGTGGGGGTGGGGTCAGGGTTATAGCTAAGAGGGGAGCTGTGTCTTTGCTAGTTGGCACCATCCCTTACTTTTGGTATTTAATCCTCAACATCTCACCCCACTCTCAGTACTCTTTAAATATATTTCTGTGCACGAGAAGCCCTGACCAGAGACTTCAAAGACAGCAGGTTCCAGGACGCCCAACAGATCTGAGAAACCAGTTGCTATCGCCTAACAAGAATATTATACCTATGAATCACAGTTGTATCCTCTTCTACCTCCCCCAAACAGAAGCTCATCAGTCTTCACAAATGGATGCAGGAAAACCACAATGCTGTATCTTTTTTTTTTTTTTTTAAATACTGGGGATTGAACGCAAGGCCTCACACATGCTAGGCAAGTGTTCTATCACTGACCTGCATCTTTTTTTTAAGGTGAGAAATCTGGGAAGGAGCAGCCACTTGCCCAAGTTGCACAGGTAGGGCTCAATGCAAAGGACAGGATATATCCTTTCAAAAGCCATCATTGAGTGTGCTCCAGGTGAACAAGGGGATACCCAGGCAGGGCACCCATGAGGCTGAGTCAGATTTGTCAACTATAGCCTCTTCTGGGTCAATGTGAGGGTGAATATACAGGCCAGAGTTCTTGATCCAGGGCCAGCTGGGGCCTGAGTCATGGCAAGACCTTGAAGCCAGAATTGAAGGGCAAGTGGTGCCCATTGTCATAAGACAATGACAGGTGGTGGCAGCTCCCCACCAATGCCTGTCCCTAGGGCAGGACCAAAGGTTGTGGGGGTTGGAATGAGGGCCTGTGAGGGCACACAGGGCTTTTTTTTGCCTGGGGGCTTTAGAGGGGACCACACAAGTTTCCCAAGGGCATATCCAGGGCATCTTCTGGGCACTAAGGCAGTTTATAAAAAGTAAAGCTGTCCACTTCAGCCCTTTCCAAAGCCTCACTAAGGGCAATCTGTCTTTTGGTGATCAGAACCATCTTGAGGCCCCAGCACAACTTTTGTTGGAGCTGGGGGAGGCCTCTCATGATGCTCCACACTATGGAAGGTTGTTGGGGCAGGATGAGTGTGGTGGATGAAATTCATGACAGGGCAAGCCATGAGAGGGTGGGGGAGGGGTCTTGCCTTGCAAAATCAAGAAGCTTGGGGACTGAGGGGAGGTGGCAATAGCAAGACCTGAGTTCTCTGGCCTGATGGTCTGATTTCCTGTTCAACTTGAATAGCACACACGCTGCACACCAGAGACTTGACCTCAGGCTAGCCCCTGCTTGGCCCAGGTTCCCTCACTTGTATTAGGTGAAGTTTGATCTAGCTGCCTGCGCCAAAGGTGGGCCTGCCTTCCTCTCACCTGTCAGTCCAAACCTTGGAGTCCTACCCCGGAGTCTTGGAGAAAGGGGGAGGTTTGCCTTGGGGACTTGAGGCTCACTTCTCTCCTGCTGCCAATGCCGCTGACTTGCGAGTGGACGCGGCCGCTTTAAGGCGCTTTGACCCCATCGCATCCTCCGGCGGGGCGGGGACAGTACTGGCGCCACCAGCAGAGGCACTGCGAGAGAGGTAGTGCGCGGTGTCCCGGCCCACCATGCTGACCGCACTCGTCCAGCAAGAGCTGCCTGGGCTCCCGAGGTGGATGCCCGCGGCCCCCGCGCGTCGCCAGGATTCCTCAGGTTCATCTGGCTCCTACCACACAGCTCCGGATTCTCCAGAGCCCCCGGACTTTGGGCCGGACGCAGAAGGCCAGGAGAATTGGCCCTGCGTGGTACCTAGGCGGGGGGTGGACGCGCAGCCTCTCCTGTCTGTCAGCTCCCAGAATAGCAGCCAGCAGATCTGGTGCGGCTCGGGTTTCCCCCGAGGTCCGGGCTTAGGCCCGCCACCACCCCAGCCCCAGCTGCGCATGCTGCCGTCGGGGGAGATGGAAGTCATCTTCAGTGCCAGGCCTCTGTTCAGCAGCTCAGATGCCGAGGACTGCGAGGTGCAAGAGCTCATGGCGCCGGCTTTAAGCAAACCGTCGCTGCCGGAGCCAGCGTCACCCACCCCTATGCAACTGCAGCCCCAGTCCCCCGACGGTGGCTCCCGCTGGGCCACCTATCTGGAGCTGCGGCCCGGTGGGCCAAGTCCTGTGGCCTCAGCACAGTTCGAGTGTGTGGAGGTGGCGCTGGAGGAGGAGCCCACCGCTCCAGGCAGGCCCAGGACGGTGCCGAAGCGTCAGATCGAGCTTCGCCCCCGGCCCGCAAGTCCCTCGAGAACGGCTGGCGCGCCGCGCCCCCCACTGTTCCTGCGCACCGGCTCCCTAGACGAGTCAATGGGACGCCTGCAGGCCGCTGCAGGCCTAGTGCAGACAGCATTGGCCAGAAAAATGGGCCCCACTGCCCCAGAGCCAAGCAGCACCACCTTTCGGCCCACTGAGCGGCCAGAACCTGAGACTCGGGAAACGTCCGGCAGCACCCACGTGGTCCTGGAAGAGGCTAAGTCTCGGCTACTCCGAGATCAAGATAATCTGGTCCGTGCGAGAGCCCCGCGGCCTTGGCCCAGCCTACGCGAGCGCGCGATTCGGCGCGACAAGCCCATGCCCGGCACCGAGCCTTTGGGTCCTGTTAGTTCCAGTATCTTCCTGCAATCGGAGGAAAAGATCCAGGAGGCACGAAACCAGGAACCCAAGACTCGGTTCCCACGAGAGACCCCGAATCGAACTTTTCTTAGGGCACACAGTCCACCTTTTAAGTCTAGGGACCCCTCGGAGATTCCGAGTAGGTCTGTGAGGCCAAGGAGCCCTTCTCCATTGTGGCAGGCTCCAAATGGGGCCGAGCGGGGTCCCCACTGCCTGTTCCCACGGGATCAGACTGGACGGAGGGTGAGTAGCCCGTCTTTCCCTGAAGCATCCTCTGCTTGGGAAAATCAGAATCCCTCTGTGGAGGAAACTTCCAGCAGGAGGACCCCTTCCCCTCCAACTCTTTCCCACTGGAATCAGGGTGCTCCTGGAGTAAGGAGCTCACCCCCCGAAGTTCCTTCCCTGTGGGACGCTCCGCAACCAGCAGTAGGAGAGGCTGTAAGGCCGGGTACAAGCCGGTCTCCGTTGGCCTTGTTCCCTTGGGAGGCGGAAGATCGTGCTGTTGGAACGCGGAGCCCATCGCCCCAAGGGACAGGGGGTCCCATGGTCCAGGGCTCATCGACAGCGTTTACTCGGGAAGCTATGAATGGTTTAGCTGAGGAGTTGGCACCGCCTACACCAGCCGCACCCGGGACTCCAGAACTAACGAAGGTGCAGAGCACCCCCACGCGAGAGAGTCCGAATCTCGTCCTCACAAGCACCGAGCCATCGCCAAAGACAGAGGCCCCCGAGCCGCACCTGAGCAGTCACGTCGTGAGGACCCTGGACGCTGATGTGCGCCCAGAAGCTTTGTACTCTGAAGTGGCCTCTGGACGCTCACGCGTGGCGGTTCCGCGGCCACGAGATGTGCGCAAGATAGTTAAGACCACGTACGCTCCAAGCTTCCCATCTGGAAGCCCAAGCTCAGGGCTACCTGGGCCTCCTTCGGATTCTAGCGGGGAGGAGGGCGATGCTTCAAAGACGCCAGAGCATCAGGTGCTGGGGTCCCCCGCACCAGCTCACTACACTTCCGTTTTTCTCAAGGATTTTCTGCCGGTCGTGCAGCACCCCTACGAGTCCCCGGAGCCATCCCTCGACGCAGTCCCACGGGACGCCTCGCAGCCCAACGGCGTCTTGCGACGGAGGGCAGAGAACAGCACAGCCAAACCCTTCGCGCGCACTGAAATCCGCTTGCCTGGTGCTCTGGCCTTGGGCGGGCGGCCAGAGAGGATCTCGAGAGTCCTAGTCCACAGTCCGGGCGGAGAGAATCCGGACGCCAAAACACCGCGCCTGGTTCCCGACGGCGAGGGTCGGACCAGCCCCCTAGGCGGCGCTCGCAGCTCACCCCAGCGGTCCTCTTTAGGACCCTCAGTGACCCGACTATCCTGCCCCGGCTCCCCTCAGGCATGCCCTAACTCGAGCCCTGGGATTGCACCCAAACTAGAGGCCCCTGCTGCGACCCCCGAATCCGCAGCTTCCCCCGCTCTGCGGGAGTCCCAGGCGTTGGCCAGCATGACAGCTCGGCCCCAGCCCCGCGCTGCTTCTGCACCTCCCACGGACCGGTCCCCTCAAGGCCTCTCCCAGGCAATGCGCAGGCCTCTGGGAGCCACGCACCCGGGGAAGGTCCTAGTGGACCCAGAGACCGGCCGCTACTACTTTGTGGAGGCGCCGCGGCAGCCGAGGCTGCGGCTGCTCTTCGACCCCGAGAGCGGGCAGTATGTGGAGGTTCTGCTACCGCACTCATCCCCCAGGCAGCCCAGCCACATCTACACCCCGCTATCCCTGGGGCCTGGCCTCTACCCGGCTGCCTATGGGTCTATTCCTGGCCTCTCACTCCCGCCATCCTCGGGCCTGCCAGCCCTCAGCAGCTCCCAGCTGCCCTGGGCCTCTGAGGCAGGACCCCTGGACGGAATGTACTACCTCCCCATGAGCGGGACTCCCAGTCCCGCTCCATCTCTGCTCCTCTGTGCCCCACCTGCCCGCTCGGATCCCACCCAGCCTAGCAAGGGCTCTGTGTTCCCGTTGTGAGGCCTTAGGGCCTGATCCACATGGAGTTGAGGCCCCCTAAATGGTCTAGAGTTTCTGGCTTCCAATTCCCTGACCTTTCCTTCCATCACCTTTTTTGGTCTGTTCCAGCCAGTCTTCAGGCCAGAAGTCATTTTCAAAGAAGGTATGTGAGACCCCAGGTTGATGGAGCTGGAGTTCAGGAGGTAGCTGGCTTCTTCCTACCCCAACAAAAATGTATATCCCTTTCCCACCGCATTCCCAGGGTGTGGCGTGTTTGTGTATGTGTTTATGTTGGCAAGGAATGGGAGGAAACCAGCCTGAGGGGGTGTTCTCCAAAGGGCAGTGGGAATGAGATGTGCAGGAACAGGGTGGTCTCCAGAGGTGGTGAGCTGTCTGTCCTCTCCTGAAAATGGGCCTAGTTGATGTGGAGCAGGCCAGTGGGCACTGTTGAGATAAAGAGGAAGGACTCTGGTCATCAAGTCTGTTTTTTGGAAAAGTAGCTGAACTTTGGTCTGGGAGGCTGTGGGGGAAAGTGGCTAGCGCAGCCCCAGGCCAAGTTGGAACTAAGAAAGGGAGCTGTGCAGACAGCAGGTGGAGGTGGAGTGAGCAAGCAATATAGGGGGGGGGAGTGGGGAGTCAGCCTGGAATTGGGGGTGAAAAGGCTGGAGTGAGGTAGGTCCAGGTGGCTGTGGCCCTCATTGGGGAGCCTAGCTTTTCCTTCCTTCCCTCAACTCCAGTCTCTGGTTCTCAGAGCCCTGGGAGCTGAGCTGGCTCATCTTAGAAGTGCAGGCATCAGCCGTTTCCACTCAGGTAAGAACAGGTAAAATAAATCACCAAGGATTTACCAAGCTGGATGCAAAAGTTCAAGACCAGCCTCAGCAAATTAGTGAGACACTGTCTCAAAATAAATAAATTTGGGGGCTGGGGATATAGCTCAGTTGGTAGAGTGCTTGCCTCACATGCATGAGGCCTTGGGTTCAATCCCCAGCACCACAAAAATAAATAAATAAATAAAAATTTTAAAAAGGGCTGGGGATGTAGGTTAGTGCTAAAGGTTAAGTGCCCCTAGGTTCCATCCCCAACACAGAAAAAATAAAAATAAAAAACTTACAAGAGGAGGAAGTTGGGCCGTTGGCTTCCAGGGGAGGCTTTGACCCCTCTGAGTGGCTGGAAGGTGGGTTTGGGCTGGCAGTAGGAGGGGTGGGCCTGTGTGAGGTAGACTGGAGAGGACAAAATTCTCAGTTTTTATCACACATGTGATAACAGTGCCCAGAGAGGAGCTGGATGGTCATAGCACAGGAAAGGACAGGACCCAGAACCTGTGCTCCAACTGTCCTGAGATTCTAGGAGCTTCTGAGAGATTCTAAGAGCCTCTGAGGAGGCTGAAGGAGCTGGAGGGGGGCATGTGTGTGTGCCTGGGGGTCTGTGTGTGGTTCCGAGCCTAAAATGACTGGGGTGTGAAGTGATGTGTTTGGGAAAAACAGTTCCCGTTAGAAACAGTGTCAGAGATGGGAATCAATGCCTTCCTTGTTACAGACCTTGGGGCCCATGTTCCTTGTGTTCCCGTCCCTTGCCCTGGACTGGAAGCTGAGTAGGTGAACTTTGAGTCAAAATAACCTGGACAACTCTTGGCCAGGCCAGGGACACAGGTCCTGATGGTATGGAAAACCTTGGGTCCCAGGCCACCTCTGGGCACCTTGCCTCATCCTGTTGTGCAATAAATAGCTGACCATGAGCCATGGTGGCTGAAATGATGATTGGTGTAAGGTGCCTAATTTCCTGCTTGGGCCTCTTAAGACCTCCCACAATGTCCTTTCATGCCTAGGTCTGCCCTAGGTTGAGGGGAACTCAGGGTTATGGAAGGACATATGCCTTTACACACTCTGACCTCCCTGCCTGGATGAACTTGCCTCCCAGGAAGGGAGACCTAAGTTGGCAACCACCCTTATGGCCACATTCATCTCAGTGGCTGAGGGGCCAGTGGACTTTGGGAGTCAATCAGGCTTGGATTCCAATCTCAACATGGCCTCTCTAGCTGGAGGATTTGTCACTTCTCTGTAAGCTTTCATGTCTTCAGGGGTAGAATAAAGATGACAGTAATCAACTACTTCCTCATGCAAGTGCCTGCCACTTGACCATATCCCAGCATGAGGTTGCAGCCAACCCCTATGTGTCCTTGCACAGGCGCAGCCCCGCTATTTGCCTCATTTTTCCCTGACTATGAAATGGAGCTGAGTTGCCAGGGTCCTGCTGGAGGAAGAGAACACGTGGCATCTCTAGGGCCCTGGGGGAGGAGTGAGGTGTCAGTTCCCCATTGGTCTGGCACAGAGGCAGTTCCCACTGCACCCATGAGCACGTACATCTGCACCCCAACCACAGTGCATGCTCAGTGAGCTCACTCAGGAGGCCATGAGACTGTCACTGCCACTACTGCTGCTGTTAGGAACCTGGGCTGCCCCCAGGGGCCTTGGAGAAAAGGCCTGGCTCTCAGCCACTGCCCCACAGCTTGATGAGGAGGAGAAGTACTCAGCCCACATGCCTGCTCACCTGCGATGTGATGCTTGCAGGGCCGTGTCCTATCAGGTGAGTCCTTCCCCTCCAGCAGTTCCCCCTGTCCCTACCCAGACCCCTCTATCTACCTCAGATTCCACCACTGGCCTTTAATCCTCAACCTCCACCACCAGGCATCAAGCCCAGACCCAGCCTTACAAAAGATTGCAACCCCCACCTCACCTGAACCTCAGTTTACTCATCTGCCTGCCCAACAGAAAGCAGACTATCTGGGACGCCCCCACAGTATCCTGAGATACTGTTTAGCGAGGGAATTACTCTTTTTCTTAGACTCCCTTTCAGACCCACCCTCAGGTCTGACTCCTTCCCCAAATCCACAGGGTGCCTTGTATATGTATATGTATATGTGGGGTACATATGTTGCGTGGATACATGTACAAATATGTGTGTCTCAGTGCACACTTGCCTGGTTGAGCATACCAACATGCCTCTGTGTGTGTGTGTGCACACGCCGCATGCGCATGCTTATACACATGGCTTAGGAGTACGTGTGTGTGTGTGTGTGTGTGTGTGTGTGTGTGTGTGTGTTTCTTTCTGCTTTCCTTGTTCTTGTGGTTTAAAATGGCATGTGCTTCTGGGCAGATGTGCCCAAGTGGCAGGCACAGTGCCTGGGCCTAAACTTCCATCTCAGTATTCCCATCCCCATCTCAGGGGAGTGGATGCTGCCTCCATTGGCCCAGTCCCAGCTTTGGGGACCTAAGTTCCGAAGCCTGCTTCACAGGTGCTTCCTGCTTGAACCACTCCCTTGCCACATCATCCCCAGAGACTTGGGTTCCCCTCCTCCCCACCACTGACCTATAGCCAACCCCCTGGCTCCTAGCCCCTCCATGTTCTAGATGTGGCAACATCTGGCAAAGGCAGAGGCCAAGCTTCATCATCCAGACTCCTGGGGGACACAGGGGCTGAGTGAGTCCATATACACAGACATCCTGGACCGATGCTGCTCCCAGAACTGGCAGGAGTGAGTTGTCAATTCGGCCCCAGCCTCCCTCCTTCAGGAATAGGGCTGGTGGGTGCAGATCCCCCTTTCCACTCCCACCACACCCATACTCCTTGGGGGCTCTGGCCTGGCTTGAGGGAGGGGGCTGGCTACCATGAACTCTGGGCTCTAGAGCTGGGAGCAAGCTCGAGACAAAATGGCCAACAGAAAGTCTCTGTGCAACCTTGAGCCAGGGTCTTTCCCTCTCAGCTCAAATGCCCAAGTGCCCAGCCTGTTGTGGAAACAGGTCTCTCTCCCTGGTTTGACACCCACCAATGGTTATCCTTCCCCTTCCTGCTGACCAGCTATGGTGTCCAAGAAGTGAACCAGGTGAAACATCTCACTGGCCCAGGTCTTAGCAAGGGGACAGAGCCAACCATCAGTGTGATGATCACAGGAGGCCCCTGGCCCGTCAGGTGATGATGGGGTGGGGGATGGGGTGGGGCCATGGGAGCCTTGGTCTGCCCACGACTTCCTTGTGGGCTGGGCCAAGTCCAAGTCTCCTACTGGGCTCCCGTAGGCTCTCTGAAACATGCTTTCACTACCTGGGAGAGTTTGGAGAAGACCAGATCTACAAAGCCCACCAACAAGGCCAAGGAGCTCTGGAGGCACTGCTGTGTGGGGGCTCCCAGGGGGCCTGTTTGGACAAGGAGACAGCCACAAGGAAAGAGCTCTAGTCCATCACTACTCCTATCCCTTAAAGAGAAGCTGGGACCGCCTCTGGACCTTTCCTGTTGCTTTCTGCAGGCTGCCAGAGGGCAGGGAGGTGCTGCTGCTCTTTCCTCCTACATTCTGGGGCACTAGGGCCTGGGAGGGATATAGTCTTTCTCTGAACTCAAATAAAACCCAGTGATCTTGACTCCTGCCTGCAAAAGGTGTGTTGGGGGCTGGGAAGACAGACTTTGGTATTTCTACCGGTGTTCCTTTTAGAAAAGGCCAAATAGACATCACTACAACTCCCTAGAGGTGTGAGAGCTGGCTTGGCTGGAAATAGGAGTAAGCTATGAAAGGCATATGGAACACGGACAGCCCCGATCCTCAGCTTCAACAGGAGAGAAAGAAAATCAAGGAAACCACAGGCGGCCACCTTGTGGCCGCATCTATGCATCTCCGCCATGCAATCTGTGCTGCTCCCAGAACATGTCTCCTGTCAGGCTTGGTGGCACACCTACGTAATCCCAGTGTCTCTGGAGGCTGAGGCAAGAGGATCTCAAAATTGAGGTCAGCCTCAGCAATTTTAGTAAGGCCCTAAGCAACTTAGTAAGACCCTGTCTCAAAAAATAAAAAAGGTTGGGAATGTGTCTCAGAGATTAAGCACCCCTGGGTTCAATTCCTGGTACCAAACAAACAAAAACAAAGACAACAGAATATGTCTCCTTGCTCTCTGCCTAGTGGCCCTTACTCTCTGCACTCTTCCATGGGCTGCAGCTGGGGTGATTGGGCCACATTGCACACCTGGGCCAGGGCAGGATTCCTAGAACTAGCTGAGTCAGCATCTTGGCTCTCATACAGCTCTCTCTAGAAATTCTGGCCAAGGGCCTTACCCTTCGGAAAGGAGCCCTGGGCCCCACCTGGGTATGGGAACCTGGGATCAGGTAGCAGTGGGACAGTGGTCCACTTTAAGCTTTGAATGTAGCCCTTGATGCTCTGCCACTGCAACTGATTCTGAAAAGGATGTTTCTTTCTCTTCCTCTCTCCCTGCTCCTCCCTAATCCCTCTCTCTCCCCCATCTCAGGGGAAACAGGATTACCTTTCTTGTCCATCCTAGGCAGAGTTATCTGTCCAAGTACACACCCACTATAGGAACAAGTAATTCACTGGAAGATCTCAGAAATTACTATCTCCCAAATTAACAAGTGAATTACAACTCTGATAACCCCTTATGGGCAGAATCACAATCTCTGGGACAGGAGTCCTCTGTGTTTCTCCTTTGCTAGCAAAGCAATAAAACTTCTTTTTCCTTTTTCTTAAAGCCATGTCCTTGTTATTGGATTGGCATCAGGGACAAGGACCGAGCTTTTAGTAACAGCACTACAACTTACAGTTTCCCTCATGTTTCTGACCCACTGATGTCCTGGAAGATGGGCAGAACACACTCTAATCCCCATTGACAGATGCAGAAACTGAGATTTAGACAACAGAGGTTCAGGCCAAGTCCCAGGCCTAGTAGTGGTGGGGCTGTAAGGAGATTCAGATTTGGGGGGTAGGGTAAGCTCCACTCTAGAGGAATGGGGTGTCCCAGACACGCCCCGACCACTCCAGTTGCCCTGTGAGCCTCTCTGGAGCCCCAACTCCACACATCCCATCACCTCCTGGCCCTTACCCCAGAAGAGATGGAACCCCCAGGCACCGGTTCCAGAGCCCAAGGAACTGGTGGAGCCAACAAAAATATAAAATGTGAATGTGGGTGGTTGCCTCTGAAAGGTCTATGACCCTGTGTTTTGGTAGGGACTGTGAGTCTGAGTGGTGTAGGGCCATCTGGGCTACTATGTCTCAGGACATAGACAAAAGTCCCGCCAGTCAGGTGCCCTGAGGTGTGGTATCAGTTAAATTGAGTGTCCAAGGAGCTGTGCCTGCAGGGGGTGGAGGTGGAAAGGCCAGTCCTAAGGAGTTGCAGAGGTTCCAAACTAGTCAGACGACTTTAGGAACCTGGGAGCAGGAGCCAAGAGGAAGAGAAGCAGCAAGGTGGACAAAGGAATAAACTGAAGGAAAGACAAACAACCAGACTCAGGGCTACAAGATGAAGCTTTTGCCCAGATGGAGAGCGGTGCTGCCTCTGGGCCCCTGGGGTCACAACTGGCCATGGACACAGCAACCCCCAAGTAGGTGCAACCTGGGGTGGCTAGGGATGGAGCAGACCAGAGGGAAGTATATGGGGAACCCAGGCCCACTCCCTATCAGCTTGGGCTCTAAGCTGGCACACCCTGCTTCCTCTCTGGCAGTCCCTAGACTTTTGGCTGGGTTGGGGTAGAAGCTCAGAAGGGAAATAGGTTGGGCACAGGACTGGCTTATGGGGTTGTGTGACATGGGCACATGGGGCCCAGTCCTTACAAAGACCCCATGCTCAGTTTAATTATCTGTTGTTGCTATATTAAGATTCCTAATACTGGGAGTTGGGCACAATGGCCCATACCACTATTTCCTGAGATTTGGGAGGCTGAGCCAGGAGGATCACAAGTTTGAGGTTAGGTTAGGAAGGCCTTCAGCTTTAAGGAGACCCTGTCTCAAAATAAAAAATAAAGAGGAACCAGACACGGTGGCATATGCTGAGGCAGGAGGATTGTAAGTTCAAAGCCAGCTTCAGCAACTTAGTGAGGCCCTAAGCAAGTTAGCTAGACTCTGTTTCAAAATAAAATATAAGAGGCTTGGGCTGGAGTTGTGGCTCAGTGGTAGAGTGCTCGCCTAGCACATTCGAGGCCCTGGGTTGGATCCTCAGCACCACATAAAAATAAATAGACTAAAGGTATTGTGTCCACCTACAATTAAAAAATAAATATTAAAAAAAAAAGAGGCTGGAGTTGTGTTAGAGTTAGTGTTAGAGTGCTCACCTAACAGGTTCAAGGCACTGGGTTTGATCCTCAGCACCACATAAAAATAAATAATAATAATAATATATATATATATATGGGCTGGTGATGTGGCTCAGTAATTAAGTGCCCCTGGGTTCAATCCCCTGTACTATAGCTAACTAAATAAATAAATAAATAGAATTGAGAGGACTGGGAATGTAGCTCAGTGGCAAAGCACCCCTAGGTTAAATCTCTAGTGCCAAAAAACACAGGCTGCACAGACCTGTCTGCTACTGCCTCAGGATCCCGAGTGATGAAGGGCTGTAGAGACTGGACAGCTTCAGTCAACCTGAATTTTAGGGCTTGCTTTCTGAAATCTAGCTACCTGTGTGGCCTTGGTCATATTACTCTCTTGTATCCTGAGCCGTGAAAGGGTTAATACACTGAGCCCCAGGGCATTCACGTGACAGTGCATATATATAAAGGTATGGCTTGGCATGTAGTCATTCCTCAGTAATGAGAATGATTATGACAACGATGATAAGGGTTAACTTGTTATTAATTAATGGCAGAGCGTGAAATCACAAGTGCCCATTTCCAATCCCTTTCCTCTCACCTCACCTGTGGTGAACTTCCAAGACTGTCCCCACCTCACCCCTCGACCCTGGCCCTCTCTGGGAAACAAGCACAGGTCTCGTGCCAGGCTCAGGTGTGGGCAGGGAGGGGAGGGCTCAGGAGGCAAACGTGGCAGAGACTTGGGTGGCCTTTACCACCTAGCCAGGGTTAATACCTTACCTCTGCCCAGATCCCCCTTTCGCAATCTGGAGCTAGGGACCTGGTTACAGATTTACTTCAAACAATGTCTGATGCGTGGAGTAAAGTCCTCCTTGGCCTTCATAAAGTCATCCTCTTTTTCTCAGGAGCTTCTCAAACCTGTGCCCCAAACATGAGGGCTCAGACGGATCCCGAGGGCCGGACACAGGTGCTGGGGGACTGGGGGAAGCTGGGCAGGGGCAGGGTGAGTGGGGCTGGAGGACTTGTACAGGCCTCTTTGGGAGGGCAGGGACAGAAATTCTGATGAACTTGATAACAAGTGACAGTCCCAAGCTGAATGTGGCAATAGGGAGATGGGATGGGATGGAGGGGGAGGTGAAGGAGTCTTTAATTTTGTAACTGGATGGCTTGAACTTGAGGGCCAGTAGGGACCCAACCTCATTGTCAGCCACACCCTTAAGGACCTCCAGGAGCAGTGGTGGGACCAGAGTTGTTTCTCCACAGTTTCTTGCCCTCTGGGCTCCCTCCCTAGTTCTTCAGGGGTCTTCTGACTTGGACCATCCCCCTGCTAAAATGTCCTTATCCTGAGGGCTCTCGGGGCCAGCACAGTGTATCCTGCCCCTGCAGGGAGCACTGTGACGAGGGGGCCAAGTGCATGTTGGCCAGGTGATAGTGGGATGAAAGGACTGTGGGGGAGGGTGGGGAGAGCCCAGGCCAGGGCCTCGCTCTACATTGCTGACAGGCCACTCAGGTTACCTGATTGATTCTGGGACAGCCTGAATCTTGCCCACCCCATTATTCCACCTTGAGCTGCTTCTCTTTACTGCCCCAGCATGAGTCTCCGGGCTCAACAGGAAATTCCACCAGGGATCCACAGATGCCCCTGCCCACGGAGCCCAAATTTGACATGTTGTACAAGATTGAGGATGTGCCACCTTGGTACCTGTGTATCCTGCTTGGCTTCCAGGTAAGTTGTCCCCTCCCTGCCCTAGAGCCTCTCTGGCACTCCCCAAGTATCCCAGCCCCTCCCTGGCCAGCAAGGTTACCTTGGGTAAGAGGAAAAGAAAGCTAAGGTCAGCATGGTGACTGTCACCAAGCAGAAACACAGAAGACACAGAGAAGGCCTGGGAAAAGATTTTTGTGTCTACCAGGTTGAGAGTTGGTGGCAGGGAGGAGGGCCCAGACACAGGAACAACTTGGGGGAAGATTTAGTGACTCCCAGAGTAGGAATGCCTTGTGGGGAGTGTAATGGGGGTGCACTGCCAGGGCACCGGGGTTCAGGCCCTGTGAGAAAGGCATGAGGACCTAGGGTGGTCCTTTCCCCGTGAGCTCTGTAGGCCCTGCCTCATGATTCTTCTCTTGCCACTCACAGCATTACCTGACATGCTTTAGCGGCACCATCGCTGTTCCCTTCCTCCTGGCCGAGGCACTGTGTGTGGGCCAAGACCAGAACATGATCAGCCAGCTCATCGGCACCATCTTCGTATGTGTGGGTATCACCACTCTCATCCAGACCA